TAAAATGCTAAGGTTAAAAGGAGAAGGGTTATTTGGAGATACCTCGGGGAGCACATAATGGCCATTTGCATTCCTGGGTGGGAGGACACAAAAAAAATTCCTGGGATATTTACAAATGAGTATATTGATGAAAGAAAAAAGGTGCAATTACTCAGTACTGTTTTAATCAAAATACCTCAGAACAGAGAAATCTAACAAAAAAAGTAGTAGTCAAATTGCTGTGATAAAGAGCACTGAGAAAAGGTATAATCTACAGAACTTGCAGAAGGGTTTGTTAAGTTGCTAAGCCTACTTTGTTGCCATTTGTGACATTTGAAGTGTGTGTACTGCAAAGTATCAGAGTGAATCTGACCATTACGTGCCTGATGGAATATGCCCCAGAAAATCCTACGCAGTGCAAAAAAAATTTAAAACCAAAGTAACACAGCATGATTCATCCCGGCCTGGGTTCCTGTTATGCACAGCACAGATTGAAATTCCATATCCCCACCTCAAACTGGGGTTTATGCACAGCCTTTTCTGCCTGCAGTAATTGCAAATCTTGGAGCTGGAATGAGTGGAAACACTGGGAACTCCTAAAAGACCCTCATGGGGGCACATTTACCCAGGAAGAAGGAGGCTTGGTGGAGGAACGATGCAGCAAATTAGATGTGTAGTCCCCATCATACTCCTTCAGCAGCTGTAGCACTTAGAGGTGTTTTTAAGCCCTCCTTTTGCTGTTTGAAAGGCTTCAGACAATAACTTCCTAATAACAGTCAGACATTTATTACCTTCAGGGTACTAGATGGAGACAGGGTTCATGTTGAGCTGTAATTCACCTGCACAGGCTGCTGGCAGGAGGAACCACGAGGGGACTGACTTGGTTTGTAACAGCCAAATTCACCTTGACTTCACAGAGGGGAGAAATGGATGGGTCCAGCATAAAGATGAGAGCTGCCTTCTGCCTTACTCCACCGCTTTCTGTTGGTGCTACCCCTGCCTTGGTGCTGAGGGTCAGGGCTGGACTGTAAGAGGCACAGAGGTGTCAGAGCTGATGGAGGGATGCTGAGACCTTCCTGCATGTGAGTATTTTGGAGGTGATTTCCTGACATGAGGCACGGTTTGCAGGATAGAAAAGCCAGGGGCACTTTCCTGGAAAGACTAGCGAATTTTCCTGGCTTCACACACAAAACTGTTTTGTCTGCCAGCTAAGTCCCATCCAGAATTGCTGGACCAGAGCTGGAGGCAGACTTTCCTTGATCTGGTGGCACAAGTTGTCCCCATATTTCCCATCCCCTGGTTGCAGCTATTGCTGTGGACCTGCAGCTCCTCTTCCCAGGTGGTAAGCACTGCCCACTGGACTGGGACACAATCACTGCTGCTATTGCACATGCTGGTGTCCCACATGGGATGGAGGCCACCAGGAGAACAGAGCCTAATGACAGCTCTGCCCTGCATCCCAGGCTGCTCTTCTGCACAGATCTATCCCATGCCAGTCCCCATTCCACCTACCTTGTGACCAAAAGCTAACACATGAGCTGTATTTTACCTTTTCCTGAGCTCTTTGATTTTCATCATAATTATTTCTGTAGTATCAGGTACAACAGGGAGCAGGAAGCAAAGAGCATCCCTGTCATTTCCCTCCTCTTGGACATCCACAACTTCAAAAGGGAAATGAGTCCAGCTCACTGTGCATGAATGGAGCAAACTGGGTTTTAAACTGGTTTAGTCATGAGAAGGGCTGGAAGGAGAGTCATCCCTAGGCAGGTTTGATTGAAACAGAAATGGGAGGGGAAGATCACGTATGGAACAATTTAAGTGACAGCAGAAACAATAATTTGTCAGCCAAACTGTCTAGCATGTATTATACATGTGTGTCTGTTTCTGAGCCTATTTGACAGCAGTGTCTGACACCCCCCACCTCCAAGCTGAGTCTGCCTCCACTCAAGAGGAAGATCTCCGTGTCTATAAAAATAATAATGCAAAATCCCCTTTTGAAAGTAGCTCTCATGGTAGCACAGGTAGGGCTGGAGCTGTGTTGCTGTCCCCTGCCTACCCAGCCATGCCAGGATGGTGCATCATCCCCTCTGCACATGGTGAGAACAAGGGAGTGGGAGTTTATTTCCTGAGAGATCTTTACTCTTGGCAGCTTTTCTGGGGGAGGAAAGAGAAGAGGAGCATTCAGGCCAATGAGATAATGTATCCCCTCCCTTTCCCAAATGCATCCCAGAGATTATGTTCTGGCCTGGCTGTTTCCTTACAGAGAAGGAGCATCTGAGCATCCCTAAAAGTGGACGGGGTCCTCCTGAATAGCCCTTCATTTACCCTGGATGTCTCAGACCACAGAGAAATTGTTGTTCCCATGAGATATTTAGGTGGCCAGGAGTCCCTAAGGACCTGACTTCACTGGGGTCTGTGCTACCTGAAAATTTTTATGGCTCTTGATTTCCCCAGATGCCTCTGCAGGCACAGCAGAGCAGAAGCAGTGAGCACCTCTCACCCCTCTTATCTGCATCTTCTGCACTCCCAGGCTGAGGCCTTATCTTCCCTTTTCTGAACACGCTGATGCAAGCCTTGATGCTCAGAGCCTCCCCTGCCTTTTGCCTGTGTCACCCCCCGTGCCTGCAGTATCTGCTGGCATGAGCCTGGAGGACACAAGCGTGCAGGACAAGCTTCGTGGCCAGCTTGGGAGGAGACCAGCCAGCCTTGTTTTAAGTAGCAATTTAGGACTTGCATCTTCATCAGAAGACTGGAGCTGTGATTCAGTACAGCCACACCTCCAAGGAATTTATCCTCCAACTTTGACTTACATTTGCTGTTTTAAACTCATAGCAGATGTCCTCACCAGCCCTGTTATTGAGGGCGCACAGCATCTCTTGCAACAGCAGAGCAATTAAAGAGGATTTGCAGGTCACCTTTAAAGCATTTCCCACAGCACGTTGAATCTTGTTATAAGTCCTGTATCCAATACTGCTTTTATTTCAGCAGTTTTAATTGAGTTTTAAGTATTCTGAACCTTATGCAAGACATCCAAAGTGCTGCAGATTTTCAGGCCCTTTCTTGCATGGCACCCACTCCTTGAAATCCCATTGTCCTTCTGCAGAGCTAACAGTAACTCAGCACCCTGATCATGTATTAGACACTGGATACAGGCTGTAGGTTGAGATTTTAATATGAGGTCAAATCCCAGTCTGCAACCAGTTGCCCACTGTGTGATGAAATGTATACTTGGAGAGATTGCCCCTTCCCTTGACAGTTTATTATATATTCATGCACCACTGTGTGAGTTGGAAACTGGGAGAGAAACCAAGAAGGAAAATGATGAGGAAATTTAGCAGAAGGGAGCAATAGAGGGAAGCTTGGAGGGTTTTGGAAAGGTAAAAATAGCAACCACAGAAAAACAGAGCAGGGAGCATTCAATATTTTCTCAGTGCCATGAAGAAAGCCTATAGAAAAGGAAATTTTCCCCATGATAAAATTATCCATGGGGAAGCTTTTGGGTTTTTTTCCTTAGGTTGGGTTTGTTTTTTGGTTTTGGTTTTTTTTTTGGTTTTTTGTTTTGTTCTTTTGGGGCTTTTTTTAAAGGAAGCACAGTATTTATGGCAGGAAAGAGTGAAAATCTCCCCAAAATTTTTTGTCTGAGACTCTTCAAAAGGCCACCTCAGCTACACAGCTCCCAGCCTCATTTCAGCCTCCCAGGGAAGAAGATACAAGAGAAGAATTGACAAAAATGAGAACTGATTAAATGAAAAAAAGAAATTATCAAAGGGTTACCATTTTAACCAGCTGTGAGGCAGCAAGGCAAGGGAACAAAGAGGCAGAGAAGGAGGGGAAGGAGCTGACAGGATCTGCAAACAACCACAACCCTGGGTGAAGCTGTGAAATGCTAATGGCGAAGCCGCTCCAGCCCCACTGGGGAAGATTTTCCGAGGAGCCCTGTGCTCTGTGAAGCGTTTGCTGCTCCTCCTCTCCCCACGGTTCATTTTGTTCTGCCTTGTGCCAGATGTGCTGTTTGATTGCAAACCCCAGGGGCACAGGGTGGGCATTGCTTTTAGTGCACTGTACGTATGACAAGAGTGGGCTGATGCATGGGCATCCCTATGGCTCCCAGCCCCATGGATCCCGGGATCACAGCTCCAAACCCCATGAATCTCACTTCCAGCCCCATGGATCCTGGGATCACAGCTCCCAGCCCCACAGATCCCAGGATCCCAGCTCTGAGCCCCATGAATTCCAGGCTCCCAGCCCCACGGATCCCAGGCTCACAGCCCCAATGGCCCCACAGATCCCAGGATCACAACTCCCAGCCCCATGAATCCCAGGCTCCCAGGATCATGGCCCCCAGGCTCACAGGCCCATGGATCCCAGGATCACAGCTCCCAGCCCTATGGATCCCAGGCTCACAGCCCTGATGGCCACATAAATCCCAGGATCACAGCTTCCAGCCCCACGGATCTCAGGATCACAGCCCTGCTAGCCCACAAGCAGCTCCGGGAGCACTATGAACTCAGCAGCTCTAACAGGTGCTTTGTGTCCCACTCCAGCATCTCAGGCAGCAAATATATTTCCTGTGAGCAGGTTTTTCCTGCACCCTTCTCGCGTTTGTGGGCTAAATCTGTCCTCCTTGAGGAGGGGATCGGACGCCCGGCAGGAGCCCGGGATGATCGCTCCCTGCCTGGGCCAGTAAAATCCCCTGCACGGCGCAGGTAACCTCAGCGTGCGCCCTGAAGAGCCCCAGCTCTGCCTTGGGGAGCTCAGCTTCTTTATGGCCCCGCAGCCGAGGAGCCTAACGAGGACACGGCGCTGCCCACTGCAGAGCCGGCCGAGCACGGTGCCCCAGAGGGCGGCGGAGCGCGGCCAGGGCCGGGAAGGGCTGGGGGAACGCGGTTAACCCTGAGGGGAGCGATGGCAGCGGGGCGGGGGAGCCGGCGCCTGCCGGGGCGGTGCCTGCCGGCTGAGGGGCGGGAGCGCGGCCGAGGGGCGGCCGCCGGGGGGGAGGGCCGGGCCCGGACGGGGCGGCCGCTGCTGCCGCGCACTCGGGCTGGGCTGCGCCGGGCTCCGCGCCGGGAGCGCTGCCATGTTCGGCCGCGGCTCCCGCAAGCGGCTCTCCAGCCGCTCGGTGAGTGCTGGGGCGTCCCCTCTTCCCTCGTCCCCCGCTCCGCTCCGCTCCCACCTGTGGCTCTGTCCCGCCGCCCGCTCCGGCTGCGCCCCGGCGCCCAGCGGGTCCCCGCCGCCCCCATGTGCCGCTTGCTTGGGGTGCGTCCCCGCTCCAGCCCTTGCCCTGCCCTCTCCCAGCCGTGCGGGTGCCTTTCCCCCGGGCGTGCCCCTTTCCTATCCCCCGGGTGCCTGTTCCCGTCGCCCTCGTCCCGCAGCCGGCGCTGACTCTGCTGTTCCTTGCAGCTGACGGCGTCGGGGGAGCCGGAGCGGGGCCAGCCCTGCAACACCTGCGGGGACCAGTGCCCCGGCTTCGCCCTGCACAAGTGGAGGTAAGGCCCGGCCAGACCCCCTCTTTTCCCCCGGCCCATCGCCCCGTCCCTCCGCGCTGGGTCCCATCGCGGCTCTCCCTTCGCGGGGCTTTGCGGTGCCCTCCAGTTCCGTGCGCATCCGGGGTGCAGGTGTGGCTGTTTTGGGAGGGCTTGTGTTAGCCCGAAGCGCGTTGCCCACCCACGGTGGGGGTTTTGGGGACACGGGTGGGACACCCCCACACCAGGTATGCCCGTGGCCGCCGCCGGTGCGGGGCGCAGCAGGATCCAGATGCGGGACTGGGGTAACTGGTTTGGCAGTCACCGCCTCGCAGCTTCCCCGGTGCGCTCAGGAGCTCGTCCTGCTGCTCCGGGTCATGCCGGGGGCTGAGCCGCCCTCCCCTGTCAGGGACAACCTGGGTGGGGTGGGGTGGGAAGGGAAAAATGGGGCTGAAGGGGTTCTTGCGGTCTGCACCAAACCGCTGCCTGAAACTCCGGCAAAAATAGTATTTTTGGTTATTTCTGTTGTGTCTCTTTACAAACCTGACAGTGCCGGTGTCTGCTAAGCACAGCAAGCCTGGGTCAGCCAAGCCCTGGCCTTGTCCTGGGTCAGCCCCTTCTCCCCTCCCCATGTTCTGCTGCCTCGAAATGAGTTCCTGCTGATGGGCGATCTGGGACTTGGTGATGTTAAATCTGGGCTATGGGCCCTGGGAGCTCTACACAGCCTTAGTAGGCCAGGGAGCCCTTGGCGACCTTTTAACCTTATTTTTCAGGGTATACCCTTTTCTCCAGCATCTGCTGTGCTTGGCGTTCCTCCCAGCCTCTGCCCTACTTCTCAGAGCTGTGTCTCACCAGATTAAAGCTTGGATTCAGAGCAAGGATGGGGATTGGTATATTCCTGTTGAGTTGTATCTTAATGTTTAGCCTTGCAAATCATTGTTCCCTTTGGCGTTTGCCCCAGGGTGTGGTGGGACGGGTTCCATAGGCTGAGGTCTGCCCTGAGGGATGCACAGCAGCAGGTGGGGCTCGCCGTGGTCCTCTGGCTGTCCCGGATTTCCTCATGTCCCTGCAGAGCTGCTTTGTAATACTTAAAAGTGCCAAGGAGAACTTTCAAATGCAGGATAAGAAGAAAAGCCGTGGTCACCAACAGTATTTCTCCCCTGCTCCAAGGACTTGTGAGGTGCTGTGCTCCACGTTTCGTTATGTCAGAGAGTACAACTGTACAGTAGCTTTTGAATAATTAAGTGAATTTTGATAGGATCCCACCAGAGGCCAAATGGCCCAGCAGAAGGGGCACACAGCTGCCTGGGGAATGTCAGATGAGGGGGATGTTGCAGCTCTTTTCAGATTGTGCCCTCTGCATTGGCACACTGTTCCTCTAGACCAGATCCTGCCAAATCCCATGTGCAGGAGCCTCCAGCCTGCCACGACTACCCATAACCATCTCCTTTGCTGAGGACCCCCAGCCATGGGAGAGGATTTTTGCTAAAACTGTGGATTTTTCCAGCAGCTTTCTCTCAGGAAAGAAGTGGTTATATCCCCCAGGACAGGAGAAGGATGGGGACCCTTTGGGTATGGGTGGGGTCAGCCCCCAGAGGCATTGGAGCCTTTGTGCTCCAGGGTTTGCATCCCACTGAGCAGGTTAGACCTTACACTAAGTTTCCTTACACCAGGACTCCATTAGCTGAGAGCCCTCCTGCAGACATTCCCATTTAATTGCCTTGATGTAAGAGTAATTAAGCAATTAAACCAAATAAAGTAGTCTATTTGCCAGAACACAATAGAGAGGAAATTCGTTCATTTTTCACTAGCCAGTGGTCTATTAAATGCCAGGAATAGGTAAGCAGACAAATTATTCCCAGTAGTTTGTAGGTTGAAATGCTGAGGAGCCTGTGCCCTCTGTGCAGGAGATGTTGCAGTCACTCATTGATGGGGCTGTTCACCTGAATGTGCAGAATGAGAAGGAAAATGAAAGAAAACAAGGGTTTGCAAGGGGGTCCTCACATTAGGAGTATAAATCCAGATCAATTGACCAGTAGAGATATGTAAGGCTTTTTATAATCCTTTGACAGCAGAGTTTTGCTGATAAATGTAAATGGCGTGGTTTTGCTTCAGAGATGCAGAGTGGTGATAACGCTTTAGGGAGACAGAATTTATAAACTTGCAGACACTGAAGCCATTGCTGAGACAGGCATTGCCTATACCCAGTTATGCTGGACTGTGTATTTTCAACTTTCTGTGATTTTAGGTGTGTTCTGTGCAGGCACTCCCTCAAGCAAGCAGATTGCTTTGTTAGAGGATGAAGATTCCTGTGTTCCTGTGTTGCCTTAACAGCCACTTTTCTCAGAGATGGCTCTGAGCATTCACTGAATTTATCATTCCTGGAAGCACAGGCATGCTTCCTGAGACAGGGAAGCCTCTTGAAAATAAATTATATTCTGCAGAACTGTTTTCAGAATAAGCCTGGTCTCTCTCCTGCAGGTGATGTGCAAAATGAAGATGAAAGGGGATTGTTAAATAATTAAATAACGTCCCTGGGTTTTGAAGTTGGTTTTTGGATCTTCATAATTTTGCTCCAAAATAATAATCCCACATTCAGGGTAGTGGGTGAACTATCCTATAGCAGTGTCAGTATATTTAATGCTAATGTGGTGGAAGTTAGGAATTGAAAACACCTCAGTTAAACTAGAGCACAACTACAGCCTACATCTTACTCCCTCAAAGCTCTCTTTTGTATGCGCAGATCTCTGCCTCTCACTGTGAGGCAGAAATTCAATTTTTAGTTTTAAATCATTTAGCCCCAAAGAGGAAAAAGTAAGTGGTTTTTCTGAGAAGGTTTGGGGGCAAAGTCCATGAAGACACAGCTATCAAACTATAACCAGTAAAACCCTGAATTTCTCATGGGCTGAGCAGAAAAACGACTCCTTCCTCTCATCTCATCACTTTCTGCTGTGGTGGGTTGTCAGCAAAGTGCCAAAGGACTTAGTTCATCTGTGTGGGCTGCAGTCTAGAAAATGGAAATGGCATGTAGGTAACCAAATCCTCATTAATAAAGGTGGCTTTGTGTGGAAAAAGGGAAATCAAATTCAATAAAAATTGAACTCCTTAGGAGCCCGGTTGCTGTTTTCTAATCAGATCTGCATTACATTAAACTGTATGCCATTCAGCTTGTTAACAAGCTTTGGCATTAAATAAAGCTGTCACTGGAGTTTGGTGAATGAATAGCCATTAGCAGTGTCTTTTGCATAATGTCTTGCAGAGAAAAGCCTTCCAGGGAGGTGGTCCAGGAGCGGGGAAGGGAATTTATAACCTAGTCCCGGTGCAATTAGTGTGAATATTCAAACCTTATAGGTGACAAATGGTTCGCTTTTGCTGCTGTTAAGCTTACTGTGAAGAACTAATTTCAGATTTACTCTGGGTGAAGTAAAATTACAGCCTTAGTGCCTCAGTTAAAATAGCGGATCCTTCGTGTTGGGAGATTGGCATGTGTTTAGCCCACGGAACCATGGTTTGTTTGCTCCTAGAGAAAGCCAAAATACTCTCGCAGTTCAGCAGACCTTGCTGTTCCCTGCTCCCTGCCTTCTCCAAACCCACCAACTAAAAAGATAGAAGCAGGACACCCAGTTATCAGGATGGTGTTTGAGCTTTGGTGTGAGGAAGGGGGGATGTGCCACCTGGTTTGCAAAGCCTGCAGAGGCAGTGGCATACGGCTGGTTTCTGAGGGAAGGAATTTGGATGCTGTGACAGAGAAGACAATTTTAAAAATAGAGTCTGAAAACCTTTGGAGAAGTCTTTGTTGCCATAGTTATTCTTCTGGTTTGCAGAAGCATTTGAAAAGCAATAATAAACATGACATGAAGACAAAGACTGGTTTGCCAGGGTTTTAGTTTCAGTGTGAGATTATGTCTTATATCTTTTCTTGGAGCATCTTTTTCCTTGCATACATCACACAATCTTCGTCCCTTGGAATCACATTTTGCCAGGGAAGAGATCTGCTTCTCTTCATGCACTGCTGTCACACGTTGCGCTCTTAATATCAGTGGTGTGTGTTTGCACAGCACACAGTGCCTGGCCCTTGCCTTTCAGGGCAAATTTATGTGACCTGATGTAGTATTCAGTAATGTTCCATATTAACAAATTTTGCTGCATACAGCTGTTTTGAGCATTTGTTTATTTATTTCCATAACTCAGCATCTTGCTATAATCTGCTGCAGTCAGTTCTGCTGAAGTCTGATCTCATCTGGCCTTGTTGGATCAGGGAGTGCCTGCAAAGACAAACTTCTCATCTTCTCAGGAGAGAGCTGCCTGGAGATCCCAGGTGATCAGCCCAAAGGGCTGTGTGATTGACCACTGGATCACACAAACCTATGGACAAGGAAGAGAGATGTGTGTCACGAGACAGTGACCCAAAATGAGGTGGTGGACCATAAGCCCTGTGATGTTTGATGTTGTTGGGTGATGGTGCACGAGTCGCTTTGTAACTCCCCTCTTTGCCTTGTTGACTGTAGGCAGGGAGTTGCTTGTGGCAGTGGCTGTTTGTTTTGTTGGTGTGTTTGTTCAGTGCCCAGTGCTCTGGGGATTGCTGTGCACGAGCAGTGAGAAATTCTGTGTTAGAAATGAGTGAGAAATTCTGTGTGTTTGCAGCCTTTGTCTGCATTCCTAGGGATCTGATCCTGCCCATGGGAGGTACACCCCAGCAGGCTCCTGTATACATCCCTGGGTGCCTTTGAGTCTCCAGTTTGCTGCCTAGTTCCTCATCCAGAGAGCAGAAACAATAATATTTGTAACACAGCACATGAACGAATAACACCGAATTCTGAAGCATTTGTTTCTACTTCCAAAAAAAAAAAAAAAAGTACAGATTATTGCTTCCATATGTTTTCAGCATTTCTCATAGGTTATGTCTCTTGCACACACACACTCCCAGCTTTTCCCTGGCATGAATAACAGGCTTTGTGCCTCTCTTCTTTAGGATTCACATATTCCGCACTTCCTTGCATGTTTATTAGAAAGGATTTGGAGAT